AATACGACATACTTGATTAAAGTTAATTGGCTTTTTGGTAATTTGAGAGCACGGCCGGGGTGTACAGAATGGATAGGTCAGTTTTCAATTAGGTCCCGTCTTGACCTAATTAGAAGCAACCCGTGTTGTAAATACAATCGGCGGAAGGAAAAAAAACTCACTAGGGGATAACTCTGGTGAGGTGAGTGTGGAGTTGTCTTCAACCTGGGATAGAGTTGGTTTAGCTGAGTATAGAGTTGTCTTCAACAAGGGATATATATATATATATATATATATATATATATATATATATATATATATATATATATATATATATATATATATATATATATAAAAACATCAATATATTTCTCCCATTGTCAAGTATAAAATATAAGGTTTCGTCAATTGCCACTACGAATCAATGCACAAGCCTTAAGCATGTTGTAAATGTGCAATCGACTATCCATTGTAAATATGCCATTGTACAGATAACATGAAACCATGGCATTACATTACATTACATGTTGTAAACTGCTTGAAAATATCTCAGGGATTTGTTTTCTCTATACAGTTATAGGCGAAATGGGCTTTTATAAAGTGTGCTGAAAATATAGTACACAGACGTGATTAGTGTTGAAATATTTTTAAATGTCAATTGAAAGTATTTTGAAATACACAGTTGACGCAAATAGTTGTTTGTTATAGTTTCATTAAAAATATTTTTTTAATTAAAAAAAACATCAACTGAAATTTATAGTTGATAAAAAGAATATATAGGCCTACTAAAAATAGCTTTAAATCGACAAAATGAATAGGCCTAATAGTTTAAAAAAATTGTTTTTAAAAATAGTATTATTTCACAAATCTCATTGTTATCTTTAAAAATAACGTTTGTATTGTTGTGTATAGTGTGACTACCAACTGATCCAAATATACCATTCTCTTGATTTCATTTAACACCCACTCTTCTTTCCTTCTGCGCGTTAAAATTGGGATTTCTTTAAAATAATATACGTGTTTATATACCGTATACGTACAAACCTACAAATATTTTCTTCATGTTTTCTTGATTCTTATTAAAATTGCCAATCCTTAAAAAAATAATCAACATGCGCCTTATTCTGTTACCTTTAAAGTGGGTTGGGTTGGGTTCCTACCCCTGACATATAAATCACATAAGTGACAATTCACTCCCCTTTTTGTGAACTCGTTGATCCGGGATCACCGCCGCTCTTTTTGTTTGAAAAAAATTCCAGCTTGAAAAAAAGGAGACTTAACTCCTAATAACAATGCTCCCTTTCAATCGGAGTTATCGAACTTGCCCACGAGTTGTATGGGGATTTTGTAGACCTGATAGCTGGATTAGTAGGGCACAAGTCGCGTTGAGCCAGAGCTTGTAACGTATTGTGGGGGAAAGTTCTAATGAGGTTAGGCCAGAAGTTGGGGGGTTTATGCCAGATTTCCCTGCAAATATATGCCAAAGTGTATTGTGAGGTTTATGCCAGATTTTTCTACAAATGAATGCCAAAAGTTCATTGTGTCGACACAAGTATATAAGTGCATTTTTTAAATGTATTTCTTGCATTTCAAGTTTTTTTTCTGTTTAGAGCTAGACAAAGAAAACAAGTAGGATTTGGTTTAGAGTTTAGTTTAGTACTTGAAATGGGTCCACTACCATGAGGGGAGCTAGATTAAACAAGGCAATGATATCAGCGGTGTAGATTCAAATTATCAAACTTGATAGTCTTATGATAGACTCTACTCATTTTAAAAGCAGCCTATTCGTTTTCGTATTCATTTCTTTATATAATTTGAAAAATACTTACATTTTATGAAAGACTTGCATTTAAACTGTTATGCTATTAATTTAAAAATTTACAGTTGTTTATGTGTGTGTGTGTCCGTCTGTGTGTGTGTGTATTTTTGTGTAAGTAAAAGTATTTAATTTGTAACCTCTTTAGTTGACTTAATTAGAAAAGAAAAAGAAAAAACTAAGGACAAATAAAATGAAACTGAAATACACAAAATAAAACTATAAATTAGATTTGCGTGAATCGAAACCTATAGACGACTCTGGGAGGGAAGTCGGGGGGGGGGGAGGGGGGGGGGGCAAATTTATGGATACACTAAACATGTAATCGAGGGGGAAATGTATTTGTAATCAGACAACGCTGGAAGTAATAAAATAAAATCTGGATAATTTTAAATTTTTTTTTGTTGTATTCAATTAATATTTTTAATCTTTAATTTTATTTTTGTCCCCACTGTTAAGTTTTATTATAATCGTCAGCTTTTAAGGATATAATTTTTATCATCTACTAGCTAAGGAAATGTTTTATAATCAAACGAGCGTATACAGATATTTTTTTTTCCTACACATCTGCAGATCCTCTATTTTTAAATTTGATGGAGAAAAAAAAATTTCAATGACAGTTTGAATTTTTTTTTTTCTTTAACTTTTCCTTTCTGCTGGAAAAAATAATCTCATTGATATGCATTTTAACAAGCTGAATGTTTGCTTGGTCGCTTCCGGTTATAAAGAAATATTCCACGAGACACAACCTGTTCAATTTTTTTCTTTAATATTATCTAATGCCTATAGGTTGGCTATAGGTTACCCCCCCCCTCCCCCCTCATCCTGTCAACACACTCTCACCCACCCCCTCCCCTCACCCCACCCACCTGTTGTCGTCCTCAAATTTCAACACGACCTAGGCCCAGGCCAATTTGGCAGGTCGCCCCGCCTGTTTACCTGGCCAGTGTCGTAAACGTCAGCGGATATATTTCGTTGCACCTGCCCATGTCCTACCTTAGCAGGTAAAGAAAAGAAGGAGAAAAAAAACTTACATTCATTTATGGAGCTTGAAAAGAATTTACGACTCTGGGTTCGGTCTGTCAAAAAACGGGTGAATTATATGGGAACTAGTCCTGGCGTTTAGGGCTTTGCTGGGTTAAGGCCCCTGGAAGAATTTCAGAGTGAAATTTAATTAGATTTTATTTTTTTCCAATGCAAGAGATTTAGTTCGTGAATTGCTGGTGTGTTTGGTGTTTGATCTTTTGATCATGTGGAACATTGGTGCATGCTACTAGGTGTCGTATTTTAAGTTTATATACTCAGTTGTTTAAATATACAAGTTGTGAAAGTCTGTATTGAGTTTTTCAGGACTATAATAATGAAACGAACTCCTTCTCTTCTTCTTCGTTCTCAATTGCAATATTACAAGATATATTGGCCTTTTTTTTTTAAAAATTATATTTTTAAACGAAGATTAGTTCATTTATAATATAATTAGTTACAATGGTTTGTTACCTGTTGGTTTTAAACTTCGGATACACCTGTAAAATTGTATCAACAAAATACATGACTATTATATCAAATTTCTCACTTTTCAAAACTTTTAAGTTTTTGGGGGTACTGTCTTGGACTGGGAAAACTGATATTTTTTTTTGTTACTATTCAAACATGAAATCAAATTTTTATGAATCAACAATCAACAACCGAATTCCGTCTACCAACTTCGCATAATCACAGATTCAGAATAAACACACACACAAACCCTCTATAAACAAAATATAATCTCTAACTCAAATACACCCATTCCGCTTCGACCATCGCACCAACACTTGAAGTAATGTCCCCTGATTAGAATACTGTAAGTAGTCTCCCCTTTCATGGCCGTAACAACGAGTTATCGAACATAATAGACGAGCGGTTCCTTCTAATATTTACCCTTGAAGGCACTCGATCCTACAGAAAACAGCTCTCTCTCTGTCTAATGGTAAACATACGTTTCAACAACAATACTATACGTATACTTACTCTTGAAACACTATACATTTGTTTACCCAAGGCGAGTTGGTGGGTATAGACATCCCTCATTAAATACAAAAAAAAAAAAATAAAAAAAAAAAATTGGCGAATAGAAACTGGTGTTTGTGGTTTGAAATACGAATCACCCAGACCACGTGATAAGTATAGGCTGGTATACTTCAAGTCTGACCGGAAGTGGTAAATACAGCGACAAATGTGGAGATAGCGTGTGGGGGCCGTTGGCCGCGACGGCTGCTTGCAAGTGCTTTGTGATCGGTCTTCTGGTAGTGTCCTTCAATGGGGATGGAAGTGTGAGTCAGGGAAGAACGAAACGTATTATTTGTGTGTGTGTGAGTGTGTGTGTGTGAGAGAGAGAGCGATCGTGCGTGCGTGCGTGTGTTTCTGTGTGTGTGCGTGTGTGTATGCTTGTATGATATCATCTTCTCTTTGGCTATTTATATCTTTGTTTTCATTCTTTTTTTTTCTGTGAATTTTTTCGTAAAAACAGTCAACTGATATTTGTTTTTAACCATTAGAGTTGTTTTTTTTTTGTAAAATATAGTTTTGTAATTAGCTAGTGGTCACCACTTTCTAACATAGAACGCGAAATACCATTAGTAAATTCATTAAATATATAATCACTGATATTTTTTTGAAACCTCACCTCATTGCTGATAAAGCTTTATAGTGATATTATGGTCAGCCGCCTTTACTTTCCCTAACGTAAATTCAGAGCTGAGTGGACTCAGGGACGTTCTACTGACTTGAACCCGGATTCGAAATCGAGACTTTCGGGTTAACAGTCTACCGCTCTACCGCTGGGCCAGTTAGGATAAATGCATTAAATTAGCATAAATAACAATATTAAAATAGCTTGGGAAAAATGCATACAATTAGCATAAATTTGAATATCCAAATAAAAAACGTTGCTTTGGATAATACATACATAAAATTAGCATAGATCAGAATACCCAAATAGAACAAGCATAGTTTGGAATAACCAGATATAGACATTACAAATTGGAATCAAACCCCATCCCTCTCTCCCTCACTCCCCCCCCCCCAAAAAAAAAAAAACCCTTGCATAATTTGAGGAGCTCTTCGAGAATTCTAATTTTGCTTATGTCAAGTAAAATTTCATCATCATTTATCAGTAATTCATTTCTTTGTCTTTAACTTTTATATGTATTCATTTGTTTTCTTTCAGAAATTCCAGGATACGCCCTAAGTCTGCTGTAGCGAACACCTCTGTTCTAGAACATTCGAAAATACCTGGTACCTACTCGACTGTCAGGGGGAATAATCAGAGATTCAACACCAGAAACGAGCATCAACATCTCTAAAGAGGCTGATTCTATAGCCCATTCTTTATCTTTCATAAAAATAAATCGCAATCGCTTCCTAGTTGAGAAGTAGGAGTTCAAAATGAGTACGAACAGTTGACAAGAAGAACTTTTCTTTTTTTTTTTTCATGTTTTTTATGTTAAAAATAATCTCGTAAGGTAAAAATTTAAAAAATGCCTTCCGTGAGGAGTGTGCGACCCTGGGTTTATTTGATAACCCTCCTTTCGCTGAGCGCCTCCTCCTTGAGCCAACCAACCGTGACGTTCGATTTCCGGGAAGAACAGAGCGAGAACACGGTCATCGGCAACGTGGCGCAAGTCAGTGGTCTAGCCGCCAACGTCACGCAGGATGTCTTCAACGGGCTGAGTTTCGATCTGGACACGTCGGAATATTTTAAGATCCAGCAGAGAACAGGTAGCCTCAGCACGATCAAACGGATTGACCGCGAACAGATCCAGTCTTGCAAGGACGCCGAGGTTTGTTTGCTGAAGACGTCGGTTACGGTGTTGAAAAACGGTGGGACGGAGTTCTATATGTTTATCAACGTCAATGTTCGTATCATCGACATCAACGATAACGCTCCAAGCTTCGGTAGTGATGTTGTGAGTCTGTCGGTGCCGGAGAACAACAACATCGAAGACGAGCTTCGAACCGGCGCCGCGGTCGACCCGGACTACGGTTCGAATTCCGTCGAACGCTACACATTCACCGACACGTCGGAAACGTTTAGGGTAGATTTACGTACCAGCCCGGACGGCTCGAAGTACTTGGCGATTGTCATGAGGAAAGTGTTGGACCGGGAGGTTCGTGATTTTTACCAGATAACTATTGTCGCGACGGACGGAGGGTACCCTATTAGAAGTGGTTCTGCACTTATTAACATAACTGTCTTGGATGTCAACGATAACGATCCGGAATTCCTCCAAATGTCGTATAACGAATCCGTCAAGGAGAACACGAAAGCAAACGTGTCCATCATGCGCGTCCAGGCACGGGATCCGGACGCCGGAAGTAACGGAGAAGTGAGCTACCAGTTCAGTTCCCGGGTGTCGGATAAAATACGGGAGACTTTTTTCATCGATTCGAAAACCGGGGAAATTCTCGCGAAGGGTCCGATAGACTACGAGCAGGACAAGCAGTTCCAGATCACGGTGGAGGCGGTGGACAACGGGATCCCCCAACGCTCGGCTCGCACCAGCGTCAGCCTGTACGTGCTGGACGAGAACGACAACGCCCCGAACATCAACATCTCACCCAGCGGCACGGATATCCTGGAGAGCGATCCCATTGATTCTTTCATCTCGTACATTTCCGTCACCGACGCCGACAGCGGGCCCAATGGCATGTTCTCTTGTGAAATCAACGACGACCATTTCACCCTCGTGCCTTTCCTCAGCACCGACTCCGGCACGTACAAAGTCATTCTGGCTAAACCCCTCGACCACGAGAAGGACTCCTCGGTCAAGGTCATCATCACCTGCAAGGACAACGGGTCGCCGTCGAGGTCTAGCTCCAGCGCCTTCATCGTCAACGTCGGTGACGTCAACGACAACTACCCGGTCTTCACCCAGGATACTTACACCGGAAGTGTGATGGAGAACCTGATCGGAATGCATTCGGTAGTGACTGTTTCCGCCCACGACGCCGACAGTGGAAACAACGGCCGCATAACGTATTCGCTTCAAGACAAATTCAACGGGTTGTTCAACGTTGACCCATATTCCGGTGAAATCACTGTTCGCCGGATGCTGGACCGCGAGGCCATGGCCAGGTACGAGTTCCACGTCTTCGCGCGTGACAACGGCATCGGCGGTCTGTCCACGTCGTGTCTGGTCATCGTCGACGTCGGGGACGAAAACGACGAGCCGCCGCGGTTTCCGTATCCGGTTTATTTCGGACACGTGCTGGAGAACCAACCCAAAGGCGTGGTAGTCGGAAACGTGACCGCCCTTGACCGCGACACCCCCGCCAACTCTAACGCGGTCTACTCCATCCTCGAATCCGGTTCCGACTACCGGTTTTTCACGATCGACCCGAAAAACGGCGTTGTCAAGAGCAACGCGGTGTTCGACCGCGAAGTCCGTGACCGGTACCAAATGGTCATCAGCGTCCGCGATCCCGACATGCCCTCGTTCATCAGCACGTGCAACTTCACGGTCAACGTCCTGGACGACAACGACAACGACCCCGTCATCCACCTCACCACGGAAGACAACGCCACCATCGTTGTCCAGTATTCCGTCCCCGTCGGCTCGGTCATCACCACCATCTCCGCCACCGACAGCGACGACCCCTCCTCCACCAACTCCCAGATCAACTACATCATCACCAGAGGCGATCCGGACCAGCTCTTCAACCTCAACCGCTTCACCGGAAGTTTAACCCTCGCGAGGATTGTCACCACTAAAGACTTAAAAGCCCATTATCTCGTCATTAAAGCCCAAGATGGCGGCGACCCCCCGCGGTTCGACACGATGGAAATCATCATCAAAATCAACGGCACCATACCTCCTGTGGACGAAGCCGGACTCAGCTCCAACATCCTTATCGTCATCATACTCATCGGCGTCACGGTAGTCCTCGGTCTAGCTATTCTCACCACTATCTGCCTTATCAGAAAAATCGACCGCGAACGGCGTCTGAATAGCGCGCGGCAAAAAAACTCCGAGCAGTTGTACCACCAGAAACAGCCGGACGTTTTCAAGAACATTGCCGTCAACGGAGTGGAGGAATCGAACTCGAACGATTTGAGTAAAAGAGGGAGGAAGGAGGTTAGCTTCTCCCTGGATGACGAGAGTGACTCACACAATACGAGCACGGGCTCCGCTCATCCTCTCACGAGCTTTAAGGGAGGCACGGATAGAACTCAAGCGGTGAGTAGCGTCTTAAGTCTTTTCTCTTAGCAATATTTGTGTTACATATTATTCTTAATCAGTCTATCTACGACAAAAATTTAAGTCATCTATCAGAGAGGCAATATTGTATTTAAAAGAACCCAGACATTTTTTTATTTAAAAAAATACGTTGTATAACTACCTAGCTATCTGCCGAGGTCACAGAAATTGGTGAACTCTACTTCACTTGCCCCATGGACCGACAGGTTCAAAAAGGAAACTTTACTACTCAACTATAACACATTATGTATCTGTGAGCATTAAATCTATCACATTTTCAAAATAGGTCTCTAGGTCTTTTACAAGGATTTGTAAATATTCTAAGCTACACAAAACAAACAAATGTAAATATTTTTTACCTAATCAAAAACTGAACAAACGTATAACTCTAAACTAAACCAAACTTCACACAATTGTTACACTTCCTCACCTCTGCTTAAGCGTCTTGCCTTCTTACGCGTGACCTGATTTCCGAGCTCAGGTTTGGTCCTGCCCGTACGGATCAGCAGACGAGACGTGAGTCTGTTGGCACTCAAGGGCTCTCAGCAGTCCCGACAGCTACTGGCACCAACTAATACGTCACTCACACTGCTAGATACGTCATTCAGGCTACCAGATGCGCGTTAACCCCTAAAAGATACTTTTACTTTAAAATTAAAACCGTACATTTTGACTTCTGAGACATACGCTTTTACCTCTAAAAGATACACCATTGCATCTAAGTGGTACATTGTAAATATACTTTTGCCACTTCAAAGGCACTTTTACTTTTATAACGTATACGTTTACTTCTAAAAATATACTAAAACAGATTTTTACTTGTAAACAAGGTAATTAAAAAGTCTAGTGACAATTTTAGCGCAATTTCCTTATGTTATCTAAAAATAGCTCTGTCGTAGCGTAAATCAAGAGCAGGGTTAGTAAAACCATTGGTTAGTTATTAAAACGTTTTTTATTAATTTTTTTCAGTATTTTAATGTTTTATTTACAATAGAGTTACATGACTAAAAACCATTGCGCGCCTACTGAACGTGATGGCGCAGCCATGGAACGCGATGGCGCAGCTATTGAACGTGATGACGCGTGTGGTGTGGTTGGAAAAAATGCCTACTAATTCGGTCCAAATTTTAATTAATTCTAAATTTTTTTTGTGACCGAACGAAAGGATATTCTTGAAAACTTTCTTCGGCAATATTGTTCTAGATTATGGCAGGAATCGATTGGTACATATTTCAAGTCGCTTAGTGGTCTGGTTGCCGAGATATGGGCCAAAAACTGCATTTTTTCGAGGTTTTTTGGCTTTTCCGGGAAATCCATGAAAGAAACCCGTAATTTTTATGGCCTATGTTCATCCTCGTAACTTGCTTAACATAATTGCTTTTGGAACTAGTCATCGATATTGCTTCGTTGAGGAGGAGATACGACTTAAAGCCCGGACACACATTCATCCATACATTCATACATTCATCCATTCATTCATCCATCCATTCCCAGAAATGACGAGTTAATAAACGCAATTCTCCAGAATGGAAATTGCGCTAAAAATGATACTTTTACCTCTAAATCCTACATTTTCACCTCTTAAACACTTCTACCTCTCAAACATACACTTTTACCTCTGAAAGATTCAACTTTACGTTTAAAATACACTTTCGCCTTTAAAACACACGCTTTTACCACAATAAAGTACGCTAATATTGCGATACCTTAAAGCTTTCTCCTCCATATTGAAAGTGTCAACTACCCTATATTTCATCCCTACAATCATAAAACATCATCTCAATGTAACTGTCACAACTTATTTTTAAAACGTTTCTTAATTAAACTTAATTAGAGCGTGTTCCGCCCGGATACTAGCAGTAACATTTTATTGTTGTAGACAAATGTTTGTTGTAATCTCCGACCCCCCACCCTAATCAATTTCCCCCCTCCCACCCCCACCCCCACCCAAATAAATAAATAATAATTAATTCGACATACGAGAGGAAATTTCAGAGTTTTTTCCAGGCATCTCCCCCCCCCCCCCTCCGCTGAAGAAAGTCTACCTCCCCCCCCCCCCCGGAACAAAATGGAATTTATATAGAAAATATATACTTTTGACAGTGTCCGCCCACCCCACCCCACCCCCCGGAAATTGTTGTCCGCCCCTCCCCCCACCCCCCCCCCCCCCACCCCTAAAATTTCAAGTGCACCCCCGGAGAAAAAAGTCTGGAAGAAATACTGGGAAATTTGCACCAAAAAAATCTGTTCAACTGTCTGTGGTCTGGAAAGATTTGTCCTTGCAGAAAAAAAAAACGATGACCTTCAACAACAAACCCGCCATCTTGTGTTTATTTATATAAAAAAAAAAGAAAGTTGCGTTACTTTGAACAAACTTTGAATTACGACAAATATAAACACAGATAACAAGCTTCCCCTCCGTGCCTGATTTGAATTCACCCATTCAATCATTCATATGATTCATCCAAGGCTTCACCACTCTACACCGCTTCTAACCCTCCCCCCCCCCACCCCCCAAACATGTGAGATTTTTTTTTTTTAAGTATGGTTTTTATTGGACCGTAGGCCGCTAAACAAGCATATACATGAAACGACCTGTGACCTTTCAACAAAACCCAGTTTCCGGTCTCCATTCTTGGACTGTTTATTGATCAGTTTAAAATGATTGGAGCATTTCCGGTGTGTGGTTTGGAAATGGTAGTTTTCTTTAGGTGGCTGTGTTGTTGTGGTACGGTTGCTTTAACGGTGTGGTTGGGATTTTGTGGTTATGTTGTGGTGATATGTTGGTCATGTTGTGGTCATGTTGTGGTCATGGTGTGGTAAAACATAGTGGTAATGTCGTAGTATTGTGGTTGTGCGGTGGCTGTAACGGTGTGGTTTGGATGATGTGGTTATGTTGTGGTGATGTGGTGATGATGTTGTGGTAATCTTGGAGTGATGGTGTGGTAAAACATGGTGGTAATGTCGTATGATAGCTGTAACGGTGAAGTTATGTGGTGGGGATGTTGTGGTTATGTGGTAATGTTGTGTTGGTAAAACGTGGTGGTAATGTGGTTCGAATCCCGGTTCAAGTCAGTAGAACGTCCATGAGTCAACCCAGTTCTGATGGGTACTAAGCTGACTTTAAAGAAACAAAGGCGGCTGGGCATAGTTCTGACCATACTATTCCTTCATATGCCGAGGACTAAGAAGAACGCTACTTTATCTGCCCCTTGTGTCTCGGGCACGAATGGAAAACGATGATGATGTCGTTGTATTGTGATGGTAAGATGGCGGTAATAATGTGGTAGCGATGTGGTAATGTACATAGTTTTGTTATAATGGTGGTGGTGTTGTGGTGACGTGGTGGTATCAATGCTGTTGACGCTGTGCTTCATGGATGTCGCAACCCCCGGGATTAGTTCAAAACGGCGGTACAAAGTTTATAACTCAAGTAACTCTCAAAATGAGTTATTTCCCTTCTTTTCCTGTTATTTTTACACAGACTTCCGAACTTTGCGAACCTTGTCCACAGGGGAAGGGGGGGGGGGGGGGGGTAAAAAAATCAAGTCACTAATCACAGTTTATTGTAGGTGTTCAAGGGGAAACCTGCAATTTTCCCGGGGAAAACTCTAGACATGAACAAATGTATTAGCAGACGACGATGTGGGGAATCGAGGCTTCGAGGTCTTGCAATGCAAAAAAAAAAGATTACATTTATTTTTATTTTATTTTTTTTATTTTTTTTTTTTTTTTGTAGCTTCATGCATTTTTTAAACTATGTCATTTTTAACAAAAGATTTTACTTGTTACGAAAAAAAAATCTAATTTAACTACTAAGATAACACTCAATGATTTCAGTTCAGCATTTTAACAATGATAGATCGATGCGCTCCTTTTGAAGTAACAGAAATATAAACTTTATTCTACAATCAACCTGAAATAATTTATATAATTTTTTCTCTTTTCCCAAGTTTCGTTTCGACGTTGATGATGCCCTTATATCAATATTATCTTACTATAACAAGTATTATAAAAAAAGAAAGTATAGATACTTCAAAAGCAGACATGCAAAGAGATTATTTCTTTTGTCAGCGCATAATCTGAACTGTAACTGAATCGTAAAAGATCTGCGCAGCCGATCTCCGTCAGCATTTAAATAAAATATCACCCCTATATAAATTACCACCACATACAAAATACCACCTCATATCAAATACTACGTCGTATTAAAATACCTCATATAAATCTACTCATATAATATACCACCCTTACATAAAATACCACCTCATATATTATGCCGCCTCTTATAAAAAAAACCACCTCATATCAAATATCATCTCATATAAATTCCAGCTCATTTAAAATACCACCACGTATCAAATACCACCTTATACAAAATGCAACCTCATATCAAATACCACCTCACGACTACCCACTCATCATGCCCGTCCACAACTTAACTAAAAAAAACACCTCATTTTCTATCCACATATTCTACAAGCAGGGATTTCACAACTTGTCAATTTTCTTTCTCTTCTTCAACACAATTACCTCAACAGCCGATACCATCAATGTGATTCCACGATGCACCAGTTGTTCCCCCTGTTAGGGCAGTTGTCTATTACCTTTATCTGTTACAATTACGGGTAGTCTCAGTGTATTTCAGTTCAAACCTTTTTTGTATAAACGCTGTAACATTTCGAATATACAGCTGTATTTCTGTCCTGAATAGTCTAATGTAGAGGGAATTTAGGAAGAGAACAGTACCTCGTAGAGAGAGCGCCACTCGTTCGTTGTGTGAGTTACAAATTATTCGAGGTGGTTGCGCTACGTGTTCGTTCAACGAGGCATTTGTTATGTGAGATATTTTTTTCAAGGTTATATGTTGTGTTTAGTTTATGAGATGTACGTTCTTCGAAGTGTTCGTTCTACGAGGCATTTTTTAAACGAAGAAAACGTTCCAAAAGTTGTTCATTGTACGAAGCATTTGATTTAAG